AAAAAAAAAAAAAAAAACTGGATCAGAAAAAAACATAGAAGAAACAAAAAAAACTGCTTGAAAAATTTCGCAAAAAAAACTTAAACAAATTTTGCATCTAGTTTTCACTGCTAAAATAAAATTAATAATAATAATAATAATAAATTCTAAATAATCCAATGATTTCTTTTTTTCCCCCTTCTCTTTTTGTTTCAGTTTAGCTGCTTACAGACAACATTACCTCTCATTCCCTTTTCTTCCTAACAAATAAACAGAATATTTAAATTCTGAGCAAAAAACATCAAAAAATAAACTCTGATATAAAGATAATAATGAAATAAAAATAGTTATGAAAAAGTTTAATAAACACCTTTCCATCTGAAGAAGTTTTGAAATTCTAAAATTTTATGTAGGTAAAATGGATATTTGTTGCACCCATCGAAAAACAAGCAACCAAAAACTTGCGACAGTTCGTTTTTTACCTATTTGTTGTTCAACAAAATTTATTATTATTATTTATTTTTTTTCAATTAATTAATTTATTCATTTTTTATTATTACCACTATTATCACTACTATCAATATTATTGTTACTGATACTATAAATGTTGTTATTTTCATACGTTGCTTGAGTTTCTAAGAGGCTCTGAGCAAACTTATAGATAGAAAAAAAAAGGAATTGAGAATTGTCAATTATTATTGTTATGGGTTTGTGCGGCTGTGCGTATCTCTCTGTGTGTATGTGTTTGTACCTTCAAAAATTTGTACAATGCCAATATATTCAACGGAAACTTATCAAAAATTATAAAAAGTCCTTGATGACCAACAATATTTTTTTAGTAACAAAATAAAAAGATGAGATTCTGGAGTAGAGAAACTTAGACGATAATTTGGTAAAACAAGCTCTGGAAAACTAATCAACCATTCAGAAGCTAAGATTAATTATCTGTCTCTTTTTTTTGCGAAAGAAAGCAAAGAAAAAGGAAAACGAACAAATAAAGAAGATAGACGAAAGAAAAAATAGGTGAAGGAGAGGACGAACATCATCAAAATGGCTGATCTTTCGCGATATGCCAAAAAGCCCAAAATAATTGAGGACTGGTCGATCAGTTCAGCTACTGATCAACCTCGTCATTCAACTAATAAAACAAAAAAAATGTAACATTTAATCAAGCAACTAACCCTTATGTGAACAACGAATTGCATTTTTAATAGCAGCTAGTTCCTGATCAAGAATGGCAATTTCTCCACGGTTCAGATTTGTGGCCAAAGAAGTTTGCCGAGCTATGTTCACGTAGGAGCAAAAAAATGGTGACAGCTTGAGAGAAAGGCGAAGAGCTTGAGGATGAAGAACCTGCCTGATGGCGTTGATACCATTTGTGACTAATACAGAACTTTCTGGTACAAATGTTTCTATCTGCAACCCTCAGATATTGTCGCATCATTGAAACTAAGCATACTGACTGTTGAAAATCGTTTAACAAAGAAAAATCATCTCAAGAATTTCACTTTTATAACTTAAACTATATTGGATTTTTGACATATACTAGAAATGTAGAAAAAGAAACAAGACATAAGTCTTTTCAAATGCTCGCTTTTTTTTGTTTTTCAAAG